TTTTCAATGCGAACAGAGAACAAAAAAAGAAGCGCGAAATTCAAAAACGACAAGACAAAATGAACAACACGAACTTCTATATCCTGCATTATGGCGCGTAAAGTTTACCATTTTGATTATCTACACTAAATTACTAGAAATCAGAACGAATGATTCTCTTTTTCTTTTTTATATATATTATACATTCACTTATTTGTACGTAAATCAAAATATTTCAAGTCAGATCAGAAGAAAAGAACTTCTTACTACTTCTCGCTTTCCCTTCCACTCTACTTCACGTGCACCGTAGCAAGCGAAACAGATGGATGGCGTTTTAGTCAAGGACGATGTTGTGAAATCTTATAGAGTCCAATCATAGTTCCTGTTATTGAAATCAAAATCACTAAATAAATTAACTTTTCATCGAAATATATACATATATAAATATAATAATATAAACTTTTTATAATAATACTATATGTATATATATCATTAACATTTAATACCTATTATATACGTTGAAAAAATAGATGATGTTAATATCACTTATGATTTCAATACAACATAATAAAAATAAAAATAGAAATAAAATAGTTTAAAAAAAAAAAAAAAAAAAAAAAAAAAAAAAAAAAAAAAAAAAAAAAAAAAAAATAAAAATAAGATAAAGAAAAAGGAATGCAAAGTGTCAACAAAATGGCTGTTAATGTCCATTAAATACTACTGTAAAATACGAATTAATTTATCTTTATACACATCGATGAAAATGCTTTTAAGCGAACACGTGCTTTCAATGTACCCCAAACTCTTCTCCCTGTTCTTTCTTCACGTTCTTTTTTTTGAACACACGATGTCTGACTGACTATATTGCCAACGGAAACGCAATGCGGGAAAAACACAAACGTTGCGACGCGTTTCACCAACTGGTTGTTTACTATCGTTTATATACTATACACACATACATATACACACACAAAGAGGCGCACGAGAGTAAATGTTATAACACGCCCCACGTTCGACTAACGAGCACTACCTATCTCTCTCTTTCACCCTTATGTTTTACCTAACACCCCTTCCCCTTCACCCTTTGATCCCCACTCTTTCATGACATACGACGCGCGACGACGTCTGTCAGTCCGCGTATTTTCGATAAATAGCTAGTTCAAAGCATGAAAAATTCACCATGAAATTTATTACTTTTTTTCACTAATCCACAATCTCTCGTCGCTGATCATTTTCTTTTTCCTTTCTTTTCATTATTTATTTTTTTATTTGTCTTTTGTATAAGAGAATGATAATTTTTATGAAAAAAGAGGGCGTAACAAAAACTATGGGGGCTATCGCTACGCTGCTGCCGCCACTGCTGCGAATGACCAGGACCGTATAAGCTAGAGAACCGATCGGGTCCGAAAAAAAAAAACAAACAAAAAGAAAACACTAATCTTCGACATCGACGAATCGATCTTCGTTGTTATCGATTAACGATTGTTAACATTGGTTCAATCGATTTAATAAATTCGTTGAATTGTTTCATATTTAAAATAAACTCCTATTTGATCGATTATTAGGGGATTTTTTCTGTTGGAAATTATATCGACTTGTTATTAAATAAAATAGTTAAATATAATCTAATTTCAATTATGAACACATTATTGAAGATATATAAAAAGTAGATATAAACAAATACCCGCACGAACGCACACGACACATACACTTATTAATGGATTATTCATATTATTATACATATATATTAATAGACTATTAATACAATTATATATATTAATGGAGTATTAATATAATTATTTCGAATTGAGATAATTCATTTTCTATTTTCTATCTCTTTCTTCTTTCGAAGCTTATGGCGTTCCTTTCGCCACGAAGAGATAGATAATCACAACAACGGTTCATTACACTGATTGTCTGCACAATACCGCTCGTCACGATACGAGCTCACTATGTGCGCATGTTATCATCGATATTAACGCCCGTCTCTTAATATCTCGTTATATATATATATAGCATATCCATATATATATATACATATACATGCAAACATAATATATGAATGCACGATTCAAACCATTCGGTCTCATCAAAATGTAGCAATTAATATAGACGTAATCGAAGATATTTCGCAATATAAAATATACGTATTTTAAATTGTTCGCATTGTATCACACATGACACGAATGTTCCATACTTTGATATCTGATCTTTTATAAATCGGCCGAGTTATATATATGTATGTCGAGAGAGAGACAGAAGGATAGGAGGAGAGAGGGAGAGAGAGAGAAAGAGAGAGAGAAAGAGACAGAGAAAGAGAGAGAAAAAGAGAGAGGGAGAGAAAGAGAGAGTGAGAGAGAGAGAGAATATCGACAGAATAAATAATTCAATAAATATTATTAATATCGTACGAAAAAACATATTGATTAATTCAAATTTATTTTCAAATATTTTTCTCTCTTTTTTCTTCTTTTTTTATTTTTCAGCAATATTTACACATTTATTTTTCTTCATATTCGTCATTATATTTTTAAAAATTATTGATTTTAGGAAAAAAAACGAATCGGCTATGAAGTTAATGCAATATATACATATATGCACGTTATTAGGTAATAAGTGGTTTGTTTATATATATATATATATATATATATATATATATATATATATATATGTATGTATATATTTAATGAATTTCTTTCTAAAGGTTGACGTAACTTAGGAAAGATAGGAAAGCAACAAAATTAAAGAATGCGTGCGTGTATGTAATGAAGAAACGATTAGACTGACTCAGCTGCGTTACATTCCTCTCCTGATATCGAAAACCGCGTGGCGGTGTTAATTATTCTCACATAGAATGCAATCATATTAAACAATTTTTTTTTCTTCGATTGATTAATAATAAACGAAAGATAAAGAAATAAAAAATATTTTAATTATCAAATTATCATCATACTGAAATGTGATGAGGGTAAATGCGATGATATCGATCGCATCAATCCGCGGATTCTGTCAAGCGGAGGCCACTATGACTCCGAGAAATGGGCGTTCACTTGCCACGGCAATGCGCACACAAAAATGAGTCTCTCGATGTGTGTTAAGCCGCGCGCGTGCTGCAGCACCAGGGAAGAGAAATAAAGCGAACCTAACCTCTAAAGGCGCGCACTAACGAGCGCCCGTGACGAAGAAGTAAATGCTTCGAAGTTAATAGTCAACGAAAATCGTTTCAGAAAAATTACCAGTAATTTTATGATACGTTACTTACGTTAGTTTTTTTTTTCACGTAAACGAATCCATCGAGATTCACGTTAATTTAGCATTCTTCGTCTCGTTCACTCTATATTTTTCGGACAAATTCTCTTTCTCTCTGTCTCTCTTCTTTTTTTCTTTCTTTCTTTCCCTACCTTGCTTACCGTGATCACAGGCTCTCAAAGCTGGTTCTTTGGACGGGTCACGCTGCACTTTCCGTTTTATCCTCTTCTTCCTCTCCGTCTATCTCACTCTTCGTGTTCGTAACTCTGTTACTGAATCTTCCTTTTTCTCTCTCTCTCTCTCTCTCTCTCTCTCTCTCTCTCTATCTCTCTCTATGTTTATTTTTCCTTCAAAAATGTACTCGCCGATTCGATTCCATAAGTTTTTTTGACGAATGACCACTTTTTTCTTTTTTCTCCCTCCCTATCTCTATCTTTCTTACTTTGATTTTTGTTCCTCTTTTATATATATATATATATATATATATATATATATATATATATATATATATTATATATATATATGTGTGTGTGTATATATATATATTTTTTCTTTTCTTCCTATCTTTTTTCTGTCCACGTGTTAAAACGGCGACACAGTAGCGTTCAGATTCGATACTACACCGGCTCAAAGATCTACTCTCGTGACGATACGAGCGCGGTCTGTTTACCAGCGTTCACCTCGATGATAAATTAAAGTAATCGGACATTTTTCAACGCGACCGTCGTGCACCCCACCGTTCTACTCCACCATGTCTCTCGGCTTTTGTGACGTCATCGATTCAATACTTTTCGCAAAGGTCCCTCGCAAGAGGAGCGCGCATAATACATGTGAGCTCCGTCCGGTGGCGCCACGAACGCTAAGTTCTAACCAGACTCGACCGAGCATGCAACGAATGCCGCCAAATATGAACAACTTTCATTGCCGTTCTTTTACGATAAATTTTCTTTGTTTTTTTTTCTTTGATTACTTCTTATTGCATATTATATTATATTATATTATATTATATTATATTATATTATATTTTATTATATTATCCTTTATTCCTATATCATTTATTCTTAAATCATAGAAAAATGATAAAATATTGTGGAAATAATTATTGAAACGTATACTTTCAGTAATAAGTAGTAAATAAATGTTCTTTGAATTTAATAGGATATCAATATCGTTCATCATTGCGTTATAGGGCTTTGTTATCTGTCGTATAATATAATACAATGGTCAAGTTATACGCATAGTTATATTTCAACTTTATTATCAACATCTTAAATTACGTATTTCTTTTAAGATAATTTCAATTAATTCCATTTATGTTTTTATTATAATCGTACAGAAATGTAACACATCGTTATAAAATAAAATGAAATAGAGCACCGAGATTAGATAAGAAGCTTAATAAACATTGTATTTATTCGATATATTATATTTTCTAATTCTTAACTCGAAACATAGTAAAAGGGTTGATACACATTTTGCAATCACACAAATAAAAGAAATCTTCGATCGAAAAATCAAAATTGAAGGTACGGTCTTTCCATGAAAATATGACGCTTTTAGATTAGTGATTATAATGATTAAGGATCTACGAATTCGTAGAAATCATACGAAAAACGTACGATACTACTTGAAAAAAAAATCAGAAATATCAACGAAATAAAGGAAGTTCACTCTATCTATATTTCTATCTCTTTCTTTTTCTCACCTGGCCACTCCGATGAGTAATGCTTTAACGGTATCTTATCATTGCTTCGTTATCAGAGAATAGTCGAACAGATAGAACCAGACTTCATCTCAGTTTCATTAGATAGTACGCCGATTGACGATTCCGTTTTTGCCGTTTCGAAAACATGGATCTTCGTACGCTTCCATTTTCGATCTTCGTCCTCTCCGTCGTTAATTGCCAATCGAATTTTAAACAGTTGACTGATATTGTTTCTTCCAACTATAACAACTCAACAGAAATTCAACAAAATTTGAATACGACTGTTATTCTGCCAACAACTCTTCAGAATTTGTGTACAATATGCTCCTGTGGTTGTATGTCATTACATATTTTTTTTATTTTTCTTTCTTTGTACATAATTAAATTATATATGTTTCTTTGTACATAATTAAATTATATATGTATACGTATATGTTTATCATTCATTATATTAATAATCATTTGTTTTAATAGTGAATTTCGTGAACTGCACTCAACGAAATTTGAACAACACCTTTGAGGATGCGCAATGGCCGAAACAACCGATCGTGGAAATTTCATTTAGGAAAAATAAATTGGTTCATATTAAGCCTTTTCCATCGGTCGTCATAGAGAAATTGATCCTTCGACAAAATCAGATTACACGTATAGATAATAGCGCTTTCAAAAAGATTATTAATCTTACCGAATTGGATCTGAGTCATAATGAACTCACGACGGAAAATTTAAAACCTCAAGTTTTTGAGGTAATATATTTTTTCTTTTTTTTCTTCCTTTTTTCGAATTTATATACCCTATTATCTTTTTTTTTACTTTCCATCTACATTATGTTGTTACATTTCAGGGCAGATTTTCGCCGGAAGCTTACGAACCGTTATCGAAGCTGACAAAATTAAATCTTGCTAACAATGCGCTTCACGCTTTAGACCAGGATCTCTTCGAGCATGTACCTTCCCTTAAAGTGTTGATTCTTAATGGAAATCCATTGAAAATGGTAGAAGGTCATACTACTCTTGCCATAAATAGTCTACCGTATTTGGAAGAACTTGATATCAGTTTCTGTGATCTAGATGAATTACCAAAACATATATTCTATAAACCCAGGTAGGACATCATTCTTATTGTCACCATTAAAATAATTATTGTTCTTCCATATATATATATATATAAAACATTATTATTATTATAATTATAATTTGTGATTAAAGATACCTGAAGAAATTGGTATTAAATGGCAACAGATTCAATGAAATACCAAAGGCTTTAGCAAGGGCAACAGCAGTAGAGATTTTAAGTCTTGACGAAAATCCAATAAAGATAATCAATCGATTGAACGCATTCCCGCTGATGCCCAATCTGAAAGAATTAAATCTGTGTTGCATGCCAGATCTGATTGAAATTGGTAGTGAATCTTTTTCTAAATTAATAGGTTTGGAAATTCTCCGTATACAGAACTGTCCGTTGTTGAAGAAGATTGACGAGAACGCCTTGAAGAAGGTAATTCTGAATAATGATTAATCAATGATTAAATCGAAGATATTAAAAGTTAGCTGGAAAAAGGTTGATTATAATAATTTTCTTCATTTAATGATGCCACATCACTAGGAGATATAGTTTTACATTAACTAATCAATCAAATATTTCCATTTTCTATGTTTTTATTTTTTCTACGAAGGAAATGGCTATGTGGCCGCCTTTGAAGATCCTCGATTTATCGGATAACGCCCTACGTTATTTACCGTCGCAACTCGTAGGAAGGTGGGACAGGCTTGAAGAATTGGATCTGATGAACAACGAATGGAGCTGCGATTGCAATAATCAATATCTGGTAAGTTCTGGCAATCACGGCCGTTCATACGCGTGCTCTCTCTCTCTCTCTCTCTCTCTCTCTCTCTCTTTCTCTGTCTGTCTATTTGTCTGTCTATCTGTTTGTCTTCTCTCTCTCTCTTTTTCTCGCAACGAGAAAAAAAAATTGCAACATCCCTTTCATCTCTGACTGATCACCATGATCCCTTCGTAACTTAACTCGATCATCGGCCAAGTCTTATTCCGTTCATCGGTACGATTAATTGCTTCTCGTTTTTAGTAGGAAAATAAAAAGCAAAGGGATTCGTTCTCTACGTATTTATCAAAAGAAAAAAAAACGATCGATGTGCAATTTTTCAGTTTAGTTTTAACAACGACTACTGAAATCGAGAAAATACAAAGATAAATGAAGTCCATCGCTTATACATAACTGAGATAACGTTGAAGTCACGTACATATTAATTTGTCTTTTTTAAATTTTATTTCTTTTTATCGTCACAAAATTAAATAGTTTTTATTTCATATTCGAAGTTTTTCATGTTTTTTTAAATACAAGTTACACCGAGTATAATGCAATTATATTAATACAAATAATATACGATTATCTTTATGTTATATCATTTTTAAGTGGACATGAAAAAATTGGATCACAAAGGGGAAAAAAACATAATTAAAAGCAGAAATACGTAACGATAATAAAAGAATTTCTTTAATCTTTTTTCCTCTTTCTTTTTTTAATTTTTTCAGAAATGATATTTATCGAAATAAACGTAGTAAATGATAAGAAAAATATTTTTTATCTCTCTCTCTCGCTCCTTTTCTAATATCCTTTTTTATGTTATATAGATCAATTCTTTACTACCACATCATGGAAAAAGATTGATGGGCGAAGAAGTGAACGAATTGAAGTGCAATAGTCCGCTGGAATATTCCAAGCAAAATCTTATGTCCCTAGCGAATAAAAAATTGCATTGTTTCGACATATACGAATCCCATTCCAGCAAAATTGGCGTCTTACACATCGGGGTTGTAGTCGGCTTATTGTTTATTATCCTGCTCAGCCTTGCGATAATCATTCTCTATCAACGAGGACACTTTATTCTTTGCAATAGTCGAGGAGCAGCGACATATTCCCGAGCCTTTTACAAACGTACATCAAATGATTACGACATTTAGGAATTTATAGTAATTAGTATGATTAGAATCTAGTCTAGACGAAGAAGACATTTTATACGGATTAGTAGTTCATTGATATCATTAAGACATTAATATTTCATTTATTCTTAAATATCTTAAGTATTTGATCGTTGTATGATCATTGAACATCTTTCTTTTTTTTGTAAGATTTTTCTTTGAAAAACTTTTTGTACGTGTATATATATATATATATATATATATATATATATATATATATATATGTCTTTCTCTCTCTTTTTTAATTTTTTTTTATCATAGAATAGCTCTCATAATGATCGACGTAGTACACAAATATTTGTTCGTATCAATACTTATCAATTATATCTGTATCCAAATATTTTTTTATAATAAATAATAAAATAGAAAAAATTTCAAATTTCAATAGAATAATATTTCAATATCTAAAAGAAGATTCGTACAACAAGGGTAGGGGGCGAAAGTTGGCTCTTTTTAATTAATTTACTCTTACTACGTCTATTTATGTAGTCGTTAAAAGAAAAAGACTAAAAGGAAAAAGAAAAATACAAAAAGAAAAAGAATCAGGAAAAGAAAACAAGAGAAAAAAAGAGCGCAGTCAATTGGATTCTTCAAAAGCAGGATAATCACAGTGAAAGGCTTACAGCTCATATTAGAGCATGCGGATGCTATGTAAGCGCGGTGACGATACAAAGGACGACGGACGCGTGCCGTCATTTAGATGTAGATGGTGAGAGATAGAGAGATAGAGAGAGGGAGTGAGAGGGAGAGAGAGAGGAAGAGAGAATGAAAGGGAGAAGAAGGGGAGAGAGAGAGTGAGAGAGAGAGAGAGAGGAGAGAGAGAAAGGGACTTGCCTCCGCGATTATTGAGTAAATTAACGTCGTAGTAATTGCGTTACCGACGCGTGTCCGTTCGCGTCGGTCTCGTTCGTTGGTTTGTCTCTCTCAAACACGTTGACAGAAACCTTAGACAATGCACAATCCCTGCGTCCATTCTCACTTTTGCTACGTGGCCCAAAATAAACTTTTCGATGGGCAGAAATTGTACCATAACTTCCTCCCTCTTTCTCTCTCTTTCACACACACTCTTTTTCATTCTCACTCACTTTCTGTCTCTCTCTCTTTCTGTCTCTCTCTCTCTTTCTCTTTCACACACACTCTTTCTCACCCTCACTCACTCTCTTTCTCTCTTTCTCTTTCTTTCTTTCACTCTTTCCTTTTTTATTTACATCATTCATAAACCTATTTCTTTTTTTTTCTCTCATACATCATAAAACGTCGAAAGCCGCTTCTCGATGTTTTCATCCCAACGAGCTCGTGCTAACGTCCCAGGAGACTTGTTAAAGGGAAGTACGACGTCGGACGATCCTACAACCACTATGATGATGAGCCGTGAATTCGGCAAGTTTTAATATGAGGCTTTTGAAGGGTCACCGATCGATCGTTTATCGTGGTAATTAGCGACGTCATTTTCCTCGGTTCGTTAAGTAGACATTAGCGTATGAAGTCGATGATCGAAAAGATGTATAAAAATTAATTTTTCTTTCTTTTTCTTTTCTTTTTTTGTTAAATTATACATCGGACATAAGTACTTACACGCTTTTTTTCCTTTTTTTTCATAAGTAGATAAATTCTACGAATTCTGAAATATAATTTTATTATGAAATTTATAATATTATCTATCTATTGATTTTCTTATCGAATATTATTGACTACTGGTGTACAGTTATATTTGAGAAGATTCGATAAAAAATCAAGTAGAAAAGCTTTGATCCTTTGTGTGTAGCGCGCGCGCGCGCACCCTGTGCGTTGCTCGCCGTTCGAAAAGCATCGTATATACCACCGAGGATAAGTAATTTAATCTCGTGCTTCTGTTCGTCCACGCGTCCGTATCCCTCTCTCGTATCAAATCTTTAATGCAGAGAGTCTATCGGCTCGGTCTACGTGCTTTTGCGAATATTCACTCAAAGTTAACGCGTTGAAACAGATATTTTATTCCATTGGTATCACATTTCCCTGTTAAAAGTATCAGATTCATAAGATCAGAAAAAATATTCTCAAATCAGACTAATCTCAAACATAATCGATTAACCTTAATAGTAACACTGTATATCTGATATCAGAAATAAGAAGCTCTTTATAAAAGATTTTTGAAGAAAAGTGAATGCATCACTGATTCAAGATGGCATTCCTAAAGCAAAATTCAATGTAACTCTGAGAAACGACGATCGTATTCGAAAGCTAGCATTCGTGTAACCTTCTCACCGTGTCCTTCCTTAACGTAAATGCGTGTTTGTGAATATATAAACACATGGAAAGGATATCCATCTCTTGCGGATGGAGTAGGACACAAGAAGAAGATAGAAAATGAAAGAGAGAGAGATAGAAAGGGATGGATAGATAGATGGAGGAGAAGGCAAACAGGATGTAGGAGAATCAAGAATAAACGGAAGAAAAAGAAGTCAAGCTGAAGGTGGAACGACGCGAAGAACGGCTTTGGGGTTGGGAGTTACAGAGGAAGGACTGGAATGTCTTCGATCTTCCATTTCTCTTTCTCTCTCTCTCTCTCTCTCTCTCTCTCTCTCTCTCACTCACTCACTCACTCTTTCTATGCATTTGTAGAAGCCTCTAATATATACATCGGTAGGTTATAGAGAAGACTAGAGGGATGATTCGCGACGCGAGAGCGTGTCCATGACAACGTTGAATGTTGGTCACGCCCTAATGCTTCATTGGGACCAACCCCAGCGTCATGAAGCGTCGCGACGCCAACCAATACGATCGTGCGTCGTTCCGGGAGGCCGAGTTTCCTCCATGCGAGGGAGCCCGCGCGTCACCAAAAGCTGCTTTTCTTTGGTAGGGGGCTAGAACGATATCGGGTCTCGAATCTCCTTGGATATCACGCACCGATACTCCCTAAACGACGACAAACCCTGCTGCCTCTCCGCCGGCTGGTCTTTCCACTAGTTTTCATTGCGATATATCGAACGAGGAAATCATCGGTTCGTTTTAATTAATCGACTTGGAGGTTACACGATTTCGTCTCTTGTCAGAGAAACGGGCATACCTGTTTACCAGTTGTCTTGTGGTTATTTCATCAGAAAGTAATTGTATTGCAGTTATATTCTTGAAGTTTGAAGAAAGACGTTGAACTTCTTTGGATATTTCTTTTCTTTTTTTTTTAATTCCTTTTTTCCGATGATTAAAGATCAAATTATTTGACATTATCTTTTATTAATTAATTTCGATTCTTTTTTTTGATTCTTTTGGAACTCCATAAGATCGAGTGCGAGTTTCAATATCTGGAATTATTATTTTTACAGAAAGTGATACTTGTTCCTTATTTTTTTGTTTCTTTTGGATTCGAAAAGTGTTGATATTAAGAAATTCTTTGAAGATTTATGCATTGAACAGAAAGGATTGATGAAGATATACAGTGGTCGAGTGTGTTTTGAAGTGTTTGAAGCATCTCAAATATGACACCAATGTGTAACTTTCAAATATTACAAGCGAGTAGGATGTAATTTATACTTGGAATAGATCGAATCTATCTCAAGATTATTCAGGATTGCATCTTTGAAATTCTTACGAAAAATAAAAGGAAAAATGCAATCGACCTGTCAACAGCAAGCTCAAGCACATCCTGGTCAAAACGGTACCTCCGCAAGTCGGACATCTTTTCTGATCGAGGATATTCTCAGTCGTGGTAGCGTTCCACCCCATACACATCATCAGCTTCATCATCAGCATCTTAGCTCGGCTCACGGCCAGCAGCATCAGCAATATCAACAATTCGCTAATTTATTACCTGGATACCCGTCGGCGCCACCCACAGCTGCATTTTTTCTGGGACCACTTTTTGGTAGCGCTGGTATGGGGGTTGGCGTGGTACCAGGGGTCAGTGAACTTGCGGCCTTAAAACATTGTCGACGACGAAAAGCACGAACGGTAAATGCACATTAATTTATAAGTTTTTGATTGTCTCGAAATTTGTATCAATACATTTTTGGTTTTTAATATATCTAATTGTTAATTGTGTTTTAATCTGATCAATGAACATTGATTTTCTTGATTAGGTGTTTAGCGATCAGCAGTTAGCTGGTTTGGAAGCCAGGTTCGAAGTTCAGAGGTATCTGAGCACACCGGAAAGAGTCGAACTAGCGGCAGCCTTGCATTTGTCCGAGACCCAAGTGAAGACATGGTTTCAAAATCGAAGAATGAAGCATAAGAAACAATTACGAAAGTTGAACACGAATTCGAATAGTAATGGGATTCAATCGTCTGGTCAACAATGCGGTTCTCAATCCGGTTCGGTGACATCTCCAGCAGGTGAGCGATTAAATTTTTCATCTTTACTTTATTTTTTCCTATAAATCTTTCATATTAAGAAATGTTTAAATAAAAAAATTTTTTTGATGTAAGATTAGTTCTAATGTCATGTAATTAATTATTAATGCACGAAAATACCTCATAGTTTCTTTTATTATCGTTATGCTGTATTTCATTTAAATACCTATACAAGAAAAAGTAAATCTAAGATATAATTTAATCATTATTGCCATTCTTCAAAAGCGACAATAATCGTGATTAAGTGAGATTTCGGTTAGATTTTTACCAAAGTAGTACGTCGGTTGCGGGCTAGCGCTATGATTACGATCGATTTGCCATTTACTTGGTCAGCTTTAGAATTTTAGCGCGTGTTAAATATTCCCGTGCGATCGTAATAATGGACCAGTATGACGATATAATGCAACCAAAATTCCACTGACAATAAATTACGCAAGTTCGGCTTAACTAACCAGACCATAACCCGGTGGGGGGCTTGCAGGAACTGTAATCATTAACTAGCGGTACCTAGATAATGATCGCCATCTATAGTAGAATTTCCCGCAATCGTGTATAGCTAACAATGTTACTACATGGAAATTATATTATACAAGACGAAAATTCAACGATGAAGTTACATGCACGCGGTAGAAACGATGGCCGAGAGGAAGATACGTTAGAGGAAAGGGGAACGAATGTTGGTTAAACTGATATATCAATTTGGGAATTATAGCGTTGAAGTATTTCCTCGTTAGTAAGTATAGAATGTTTGCGAAACCGTTATGCTCGTTTCTATCTTTAACGAATTAATATCGGTTTTGTATAAAAAGGATAGATTTACATACC